CCCCAGGCCCGCTCATCCCAAAAGTCGGGGGCGTATACGCACCGCAAGGTTTTTTTTTTTTTTTTTTTTTTTGAAGGGCAATGGCCTTGTCAGGTTTTTTCATGTGACTAACCAACCCAGGTAAATTCAATCTTGTGTCCTTTTTTTTTTTTTTTTTTGCAGCGATAATTACTGGGCGTTCTATTCGGGTGAAGACGGTAGGGGGGCTGATAAGAGCCTGTCTCTTATACACATCTAGATGTGTATAAGAGACATGCCTCCGCCTGTGTCGGCTCCGCCTGCGTTTTCGTAGGCACAAAGATCATGCCTTGGAGTACCGTTGTCCACTGATGCTCACTAGCAATCAGAAACTCCGTGCTGGCTTAATTTCGTCTGTTTCGTGCCGCTTTGTCAGTCTCAACTGTCCGCTGAGCTTCGGCTGTCGCTTCGTTGGCCAGCCGCTGACGTTCTGCTTCTGCCGCAGCCTGCTGAGCCTCGGCGGCGGCTACGGCGTCTATAAATGCCTGTAGCCGCCCACAATAGTCAGCCAAAGGCTCGCTGGCCTCTCGGACCGGGCATGCGGGAAGATCTCCAGTGGTGTCTTGTACTGTCAATGTCGTACTTGATGCTGCTGGAGTCGTCCGTCTACTGAATCTCTTGGATCTTGGAGGTACCGCAGGGCGAGCACGAACTGCGATCCTGGCACTGCGCCGTGGCAGTGCCCCGGTGTCCTGTTCGATCGACATCAGTCTGAACTGATGCCGTACTTGAGAGGTGCCGGTGTTCACAGAATACAGGGGGGTAGGGAGAGTGGGAACAGGGGTAGAACAATCAAACAATACGCGTACAGTCCCCTGTCCCACTGATGGACTGTAGACAACTAATCAAACAGAAAAATAAATTTCCCGTAAACCATTCAAAAATTCGTAATAATGATTTAAATAATCATTATCTGCAATAAATATAATCAATAAACAATAATTGCAATTATAAACGAATTTGAACGGTACTATGATTAGGTCTCTTTGAGATCACTTTGAGTCCGGGAGNTATGATTAGGTCTCTTTGAGATCACTTTGAGTCCGGGAGTTCACCGTTAATGAGTGAACTACCCGGAAGTTGCAGTTTGAGGGTCAGATACGGCTTAGTATGCTAAAAAATTTCGGAAATTTTCAGAAGAAAACGCTCGAATTTTCAAAAACGCGAATTTTTGGGAATTCCCACCGTTAAAATCCGATTTTTAAAAGCCTAAACCTATTTTCGGAATTTCTCAAACAAGGGGAATGAAAAAAACTTTCGCGAAAATTTTGGTCCCAACCCTAATTTTCTGCATATCGGCGAAATTTCCGGATTTACGGTCCCCAAAAACGTTCGAATTTCCCCAAGTTGATCTAAAACCCCAAAAATTTTCGTAACCCTAATTCCAATACTGAAAGACAACGGAAATCCCAAAAGAAAAACGAAATATAGGATTTACAACAGAATGCCGAAAAACGGAATGCTGAATGGAAATCAGAAAAGCCGAATTTCAAACATGATACTGATTCAACCCTAATACGCGTAGAATCAGAAATCCGAATCAAACAGAATGTTGAATTAGTATCAATTTCTCGGATCCTAATTAAACAGCATACCGGTGTACAACAGAAATCCAAATCAAAGTCCGAATACTGAATTGAACAGGAAATGCCTAAATAACCAGAAGACCGAAAAAAAAATTTTGCAACTTTAATCTCGATAATAATTCAGCGCCGATTTAGAAGATCAATCAAAATAATCTAATTCTAACCGGACTTACCTGGTGAGCAGATCCGTTATTGGTCTGCTCCGATACCAAAACTGTTGCATACTTCAATGAGTATGGGCAGAACCAAAGATCAACCAATATAGGATGAGCATGTATGCAGCGGAAGTCTGATAAACGGACTGACTCACATAGACTGACTCACA